ATCGTTGCTTTTTCTAGCTAAAAGCCTTAAACTGTTTAATCACAAAGCGCTTTTTCAATCAATCAATCAATATGCCGATTTAACAATATCAATGCCTTTTCTGGACTAAAGGACCTAACCACAATCAATTACAACAATTTTACAAGTTTAATTTTACTTGGAGAAGAATTGTACGCAATTTTATTCTGTTTCTTTATTAACATCTGCGAGGTCATATATACATTTTTTTGGTTACATTATGGAGTATTAGTTCGGAACTTGTTGCATAACGTACTCTATTGTTTAAGATAGAATTTAAGATTGAAAAAGAAATAGAAAATAAGAGCAATATCAAAAGCGAAAATAAAAGCGAGATCAAAAGCGAATTTAGGATAGAAAACAAAAGTGAAATAAAAATAGAAAACAAAAGCGAAATTAAGATGGAAATAAAAATAGAATTTCAACAGCGAATTTAAACTAGCGAAATCGGGCTAGACGGTTTTTACCAAAATCGAGAGATTGACAAATTTATTATTAACCTGGTAACAGTATGATTGAAAATAATTTGATATAATTAGCAATTTGTATATTTATTTTTTTACCATACCATAAAATACCTAAATCAATTGGAATTTTTATAAGAATGATACAATTGTGCCAAATGAGGATCAATCTGTGGCTTGTATCAGGATAAAACCCAAATTAGGAAATTTCGTACACGGCAAAATGTGGTATCATTTTGGGCAGGTTTTAAGGTAGGACCCGATATTACTACGTATAGGAGGCGGGTTATTAATTTATCATTTTTTGTTGAATTATGTGCTCAAAATTGTATAGTCACACAAATATTAAAGCAAATGTGTAGTAAGCATTGTCATTATAGATGCTGCGGTGTATCATAAGCACATTACGTATCTGGTAGAGTTAATAATTGTATTTTATGATTTCACTCTAAATTTGTTTATACATGTACATTAAAATTGTCATTGAAAAATTAAATATATGATTTACAACAATGTATACCAATACTGTATCATCTACTTTTTAATTATCGTTGTCATTCAAATGACTCAAATGAGCGTTAGCGAGTGTAACTTCAGAGTAGGTATGTTGATGCGTAAAATTACGATATGGCTTATATGTATTTCCTGCCGTTTGAATTTCATGATATCCGACTCCTGCGGCATCATCTATTGCTACGTTGTTTTGAAGCATACCGGATGACTCGTCAGCGGCATCATCTATTGCTACGTTGTTTTGAAGCATACCGGATGATTTGTCAGCGGCATCATCTATTGCTACGTTGTTTTGAAGCATATCGGATGATTCGTCAGCGGCATCATCATCAATAATCTTTTTCGGATGTCTCTCGCTATTATATGTCAATGTGGTTGAGGAATCGTGATCTTTTGAAATTGTTAGTGCGGCTTCGAGTTCTGTCAACTTTTGCTTGCGTTTTATGTAGGCGCGTTTTGCAATTTTATAAACCACGTAAGTTGCCCAGATCTGTGTGAGGAATAGAATGAA